GTGCCCAGTGTGGGCACTCAGGGCACTCCAAGCCAGGACTGCTTTGCAAGCCGGGCACCCCTGAGAACTGTCTGTCCGGGGTGGGGTCGGGTCCCTTTAAGCACAGCCCTCGGCTAGCCTGAGGCAGCAGCTCCACGCTCTAAGTCCTCATCTGATGCCCTGCTGGCACTGCTTCCGGCCATCCTTAACCCTGGTTCAGGGTCCACTTAATGTGGACATGCTAGTTCGAATTAGCAAAACGCTAATTCGAACTAGTTTTTTAGTCTGGATCCGTTAGTTCAAATTAGCTTAGTTCTAATTAACTAATTCGAACTAACTTAGTTCGAATTAGCACTGTAGTATACCCTAACTTCCACATGTAGACATACCCTAACTTCCACATGTAGACCCAAACTCGGCTTGGAAAGTGAATCCTGGGTGGTGAATCCAGGGCCTTAAACTCCACTCAAAATCCCTGCAACTTGCCTCCTATCAGACCTGGACTGCACAGTCTGTGAGAGAACAGAAACTGGAGGCCATGGAGAAGAAAGAAGAAAAGCCAGAAAAGGAGAAGAAGAGCCACTTGCAACAAATCCCACAGGTAAGGGGCTATTATGTCAACCATAGTTCATTTCAGATATGCCACAGCATATCCTAAATGCTGGGGGATGTGAAGGAGTTAATGTAGAGCTGGCTATTCTGACTCTATATTAACCACATATTCTCCCATTCAGAGAAATTTCATCATTTCAAAAAGAGATTCAGGTGGCCCAAACATACCAATTACAAAATATACTAATAATATAGTCTTGCTAAAAGGTTACAGATCAGTATCTTGCTGCCAGGATTTCTTGAAACCCAGTGCTCATATTTAAGATGTAGGACTGTCTTCCAAAAGAATACATTAAGGAACAAGTCAATAATTGAAATTGTGGATAGGAACAATCTTTTCTGTCCATTACAAACATCTTGGAACTCCCAGTCATGTGAAATTAAACATATAACTGACTGTTGTTATAAGTATATTAAGAAGGTTTCACATGACAGCTATAAAAATCCATATTTATGAAATGATTTCCAATATATCCATATGTACACTGACAATTGATTGAAATAAAATCCTTACATTTTGCTATTATCTTAGAAGCCAATGCAAAGAATCAAGGTCTGTATAAAATGTACTGCAAACTCATTACATACAAATATTACTTACTACAGCAGATACAATCTCAAAGTCAATGGGAATCTCCATGGGTGTAAAACTGCCCATGCTATCCTACTGAAGTATCAGGGCCTAAATTTGGAAATTCCCGTAGGTCAGGCTTGTCTTCAATACACGGAAGATTCACACTGCCGTGGTCAATCTTCCAGAGTTTAATTTTGCCGGTCTAGTAAAGCCCTCCTAAATCAAACTCAGAGGGCACCCCTGTTGGCACCAATACTCCAGCTCCTTGCGAGGAGTCAGGGAAGCCGAATGAAGCATTTGCTCCCATCAACTGCCCGCTGTGGAGACCACGTGGAAATTCTAATTAAGGTATATCGACTCCAGCTATGTAATTAACGTAGCTAGAAATGCATATCTTAATTCAACCTTCTCCTGCAGTGTAAACGTAGCAATTTTGTATTAACAAAAATAAATACTGAATTACAGCACATTCCATATTGTTCTGATGGTGAATCATACTAAACGAATTAAAAGTAATAGGAGTAAAAGATGAGTCTCCAAACAAAATTATCGATTTAAAAGTCTGTAAATATCTTAGGTATTTCAGCAAAGCATACACTAATTTTTTGTTCATGCAGCAAACAGCACTATGGGACACACTAACGGGGTCTGTGTGTTCCAGCACAATATTAATGACAACAACAAAGAAAGCGGGAGATACTAAAAGAAAGGAATGAACATTTACCCATTCCAGTTCCAGCTGGTGCAATCTCTCTGGAGAAGATTTCCACAGCCGTTTTCTGCTTATGGTGTACAGCAAGCCAGATAACAGCTTCCCGTAGACCCTATTTCCAAACATTAGAAGTAATATTAAATTACTAGTTCTAGTAACGTTCTAGTAAATTAAACATGTAGAATCATACAATACTGAACTACCACTACTATAGTTGACACAATCACTATATTAAGCACTATAGTATAGTAAGCACTATAACAATCCAATGATATGCAAGCCTGGGGTAGCATTCTACTATAGAATTTTCTTTTACAGAACTTTTTAATTTAGTTTGATCTCAATCCATATTTAATTAAAATAAACAACAACACCCCGCTTGCTTTACAGGCAGTCCCCGGGTTACGTACAAGATAGGGACTGTAGGTTTGTTCTTAAGTTGAATCTGGATGCCAGTTCTGACTTACATACAGATTCAACTTAAGACCCCCAGGCATCCCCAAGGCAGCTGCTGCTGAAACTGATCAGCGGCTGATTCCAGGAAGCCCGGGGCAGGGGCTTCCTGTACTCAGCCACTGGTCAGTTTCAGCAGCGGCTGCATCTGGACGCCAGTTCCAACTTACATACAGATTCAACTTAAGACCCCCAGGCATCCCCAAGGCAGCTGCTGCTGAAACTGATCAGCGGCTGATTCCAGGAAGCCCGGGGCAGGGGCTTCCTGTACTCAGCCACTGGTCAGTTTCAGCAGCGGCTGCATCTGGACGCCAGTTCCAACTTACATACAGATTCAACTTAAGACCCCCAGGCATCCCCAAGGCAGCTGCTGCTGAAACTGATCAGCGGCTGATTCCAGGAAGCCCGGGGCAGGGGCTTCCTGTACTCAGCCACTGGTCAGTTTCAGCAGCGGCTGCATCTGGACGCCAGTTCCAACTTACATACAGATTCAACTTAAGACCCCCAGGCATCCCCAAGGCAGCTGCTGCTGAAACTGATCAGCGGCTGATTCCAGGAAGCCCGGGGCAGGGGCTTCCTGTACTCAGCCACTGGTCAGTTTCAGCAGCGGCTGCATCTGGACGCCAGTTCCAACTTACATACAGATTCAACTTAAGACCCCCAGGCATCCCCAAGGCAGCTGCTGCTGAAACTGATCAGCGGCTGATTCCAGGAAGCCCGGGGCAGGGGCTTCCTGTACTCAGCCACTGGTCAGTTTCAGCAGCGGCTGCATCTGGACGCCAGTTCCAACTTACATACAGATTCAACTTAAGAACAAACCTACAGTCCCTATCTTGTACGTAACCCGGGGACTGCCTGTATTTTCAAACCACGGTGGCCAAACTTATTTTCATTTCATTTTGAACCCACTGAATAAGCATGGGATCAAAGCTAATGGGCTAGGTTCAAATCATACATGAGGAGAACCTGCTGTGCCCAAAGGGATTTAATCTTGGTGGAGATGGCAGTGAAAGCAGTGTGCTCACTTTCCTCAGTGGTTTCATAAGAGGAAGGCACTTTTAAAATCCGTCAGGATCTTTATGATGCAAGCAGAAACTGTGCATGCACTGACTCAATACTTCCATACTTTCTTCTAGCAGCCTTAGCCATACTTCACTTCCAAGGCCAGCAATACCTACTTCTCGCATCCATTTTCATTCTGCAGTCTGCCCTCCAATGCACTTTCTGCCACTGGAGGATCTGCACTCTGGTGAAAGCTTTAGGATGAAACCATGACTCCCATGAAATCAATAGCAAAACACCCATTGATTTCAATGGAACCAGGACTGCATGTTTGTTTAAAAACAACACCGGCTCTATTTTATGCTTTTTTTCTTCATCTGTAAGCAAAAATAGTTTTCTTGTGCAGATGTAATCCCTAATTCTATCTGCTTAAACACAGCATTTTTAAATACACCCTTTTTTGCAGCTAGGATAAGATTCTTTCTCTAGTGTCCTCGGATTGTTTTCTGCTTTTTTTTCTGCTTTTTACTCTCATTTCAATGACAGTATGTGTCAGCTTTAGGTGTTTTGGTTTTGTTTTGGTTTTGGGGGTTTTTTTGTTTTTTTTTAACAACAAGCAACCAACCATACCTGTGTTTTTTTCAGGAAGCAATTTATGTTCTTCAGTAAGGTAAATGCTTGAGTCAGCTTTGACTCTACCCATTTGATCAAATTTTTAATACTAGATCACCTTTATCAGGTTTTAGGAATACAAATCTAATATACCTCACTCAGGTCCTTAGGAATAATAATAAATGTTTCTACTTTTTATATGAAAGGAGACTGCACAAGGTTATAACCCTACAACTCAGATTTTTCTCAAATGAATTATAAAGTGTTGTGGAATATTTCCTCTTCCTGATAGTCAGCTATACTATACAATTTACAATTCATGCTAAGTTCTTCTTGCCACCCCATTAGCTCTATACAAGATCATGTTAATTTTATATAAACTTTAATTTCTTCACTGCAGACATTGTGTTTCAAGCCTACTTTTGCTAAGAGATTTACTCTGCTAGTGAATATGGAGAAAAATTCTAAACGTTTCTTTGATAAAGTCACATGAAATCCTGGTCCCATTGAAAACAATGACAAAACTCTCACTGATTCAAATAAGGGGATGATTTGGCCTCTCAAGAATAGGAGGCTTTCCCCTGTCATGTCCATTATCTTCTGTTCTTTTGCCAAAAGAAAGTTTTCACAGGGAAAGGAGATGTCTGTGAAATCACACAAAATCCATACTGCTTTTAGACTCTGCTTTTGAATTATTGTACATAAAGAATATTAGGCTTATTATATATGCTAGCAAAAAATGGGCAAAGAAAATAAGTAAATCAATCAAAAAGGAAGAATTCAACAAAGTGGAGACAAACCACTCAGGATGAATCACAATGTGAACATCTATACAGCCATTCTGTTATTTCGAAATAATTTCAAAATAATGGACAGCTTATTCAGAAATCTGTACCTCATTCTATGAGAAATAACGCCTATTCTGAAATATTTTGAAATTAGGTGTGTGCAAATGCTTAGAGTATAAGACAAATATGTCTAGGTTGCAGGGGAAGGAGAAAATGAGGAGGTAATTTTTACAAATTAATTCATACATCTTTCATTGTTAAGCAATCTAAACCTGCTAAATAAGGAGTTCAAGTCAATACATTCATTTCACTCACTTACCACATTCAATACATGAAGATCAATGATTCAGCTACACCACAACCAAAATCACCCAACCATGAGTTTTCAAAATAAAATTATAATAATTTGACTTTCTTTTCCCCCCTTTTGCTCATAAACACAGATAGATATCAGATTCATACAGGCATGAAGTAATACACTACCTGCTTGTAAAGTTGGGACATTTTTACTCTCTCCTATTCTAAGAGCAGGTTTACACTGGGACATTCAGGAAAGTTAAGCAAAATGAAGTAAAGTTGTAATTTTTAAAGTGTGTTGGTTAAATCACAATAAACCCTTGTGTGAACAGTTCCATTTAGAAGTTAAGTGGCCTTAATTCATGCTATCTTAGTGTATTAATTAAAGGTCTGATGTAATCCCAAGACTATGTCAAAATAAAGCAAGTACTTTTTACTTCGTGCCAACAGGGTCCACATGGAAAGTTACAGTGCAACACTTCAGAACTATCTACAATTCATATCCTTTCAATCCACATTGTGGCACTATGAAAATATGGCACCAATAGTTAATATGGCTTAACTTCCCATGGAAACAAGCCCTATTAACATTCATCAAAACAGAACTGAAATTGTAAAGTTAATTTCTCATAGCTCCCATCACATGTGACAGTGTGTCAATAGGGCAAACTTTAAGGAGCTCTTTTAGAAAGGGTACAAATAATAGGTGGTCTGACCATATTTATATAACTGAAAACAATTAAACCAAGCAGGGCAATCTTTGGGCATCTTCTTAAGAATGATTACTACATAGCACAGGTGGTAGCCTCCAGTTCATCTTGAATAAGGAAGGTATCTTCACATCCCCAACTTCAAGAGCTAGGAACTTAATTAGTGCAATTAAGTCGCCTGGTAATTAGTAGGAAACATTTCTATGCAATGTATAATATTTACGTATTTACATCTGTTTCCTGTTTCTGGACTATATCAGGCCTTCAATATTCCTTTCATATTTCCATTTAACCTTATGCTTACTTCCTAGCCTTCAGATAAAGGATTATACAGTAAGCTAAACAATTTAAAAAACAATAAGCTGCTGTCCTGTGCAGTGCCTGAATCTAGAGTTGGAACTACATTCATATAGTATATCCTGCATAACCATTAAAACAGCCAGACTTACATGGTCATGTTTAAAAATCTAACAGCTGCCTATTTAGCAAAAATTCCTAGCTAGACAAAATTAAATATTTCAGTCATGCCCTATATTAAAATATACATATAAACAGTATATTATACATTAATAAATAGTTAACAGATGTTTCAATAGATGATTAATCAATTGTTACTGAGTACAATGGCTGCTTATAACCACCTATACTTTATATATAACATGCTTAAACATCTACTTAATAATTTATTACTTCTTTATAAACTATTTATAAATGCACTCAATGTAAAATGTGATTGATATGTCTAAATTAGAGACTAGTTGATGCTACAGCACGTGATTTAGAAGAAGAAACAGTTTCAGAACAGATATCATAGGAAATATAAAAAACTACAGTATATTGGCCTGACTAAATCTCCATCATGCCTTGGCTTCAGAACTACAGAAGACAGTCTGAAATCTGAGGAAAAGCACCCTAACAGTGTGCTGTGATTGTTGGTAATTATGCTGCACATAACTGTTTCCCTACTATCCTGTCTGCCATATACATATCTTTTCTCTCATCTTAAATTTACATTGTAAAGTCTACAATGAGGCTTTGGGTTACTGGTACTACTGCAATACAAATAACCAACATACTTTCCCGAAATCTGTTACTCTCTGAAAAAAAATGTTACTCTCTGACCAACTTGACACTGGGAAGACTGAATAGTTGCACAACTATAAAGAGTGCTCTGTGGGCTAACGGCTCAGAAACTGAATTGTCAGCTAGGGAGTACAAATGAGTCCTTATACCTTTCAGTTTTAATATAC